TTGTCCCCACAGCTACCCCGAGGTGAACATCCAGAACTTCACCACCAGTTGGAGGGATGGCTTGGCCTTCAACGCCCTCATCCACAAGCACAGGTCCGTCCGGGGTTGGGGGGAGAGTTGGGGGTTGGAGGGGGACAACCCTGGACTCCTGGGTCCCCTCCGTGGGGTGGGGTTGGGGTGGGGTGGGGTCTTGAAGGTGCTGTGTCCCACTTGTAGGCCCGACCTCATCGACTTCCACAAGTTGACCAAGTCCAACGCGACCTACAACCTCCAACAAGCCTTCAACACGGCCGAGCAGCACTTGGGGCTCAGCAAACTGCTGGACCCCGAGGGTATGGGGTGGGGTGGGGTGGGGTGGGGTGTCTGTCCATCCATCCATCCATCTGTCCACCTTGGGGTGGGGGGGAGGACATCTCCACCCCTCCAGCTAATGGGTCCCAGCTTCGTTTTCCACCTTGAAGAGCTTCTTTTGGGTTGGGGTCAAGGTTGAGGGGAGCAACCTGGGGTTGGGGATGGGCTTTGCTGGGCCAGGGTTGGTGGTGGATGTAGGGGGGTGGACTTTGGGCAACCAAGGGGGGCTCGTGGACCAACACTTGGCCATCCCCAACCAGATGTCAACATGGAGGACCCTGATGAGAAGTCCATCATCACCTACGTGGTGTCCTTCTACCACTACTTCTCCAAGATGAAGGCTCTGGCCGTGGAGGGGAAGCGCATCGGGAAGGTGAGGGTTGGCCCACGCCCTGCAGCTCCGTGGGGTGACCCATCCCTTGGTCCATGGGGTGCCCCATCCTTTGCTCCATGGGGTTCCGGTTCCTCATCCTTTTCTCCGTGGGGTGGCCCATTCCTTGGTCCATAGGGTGGCCCATTCTTTGCTCCATGGGGTTCCTCATCATTTGCTCCATGGGTTGTCCCATCCCTGGCTCTGTGAGGTGCCCCATCCCTTGGTCCATGGGGTTCCTCATCCTTTGCTCCATGGGGTGCCCCATCTCTTGGTCCATGGGGTGCCCCATCTCTTGGTCCATGGGGTGCCCCATCCCTTGGTCCATAGGGTTCCCCATCCTTTGCTCCATGGGGTTCCTCATCCTTCTTTCCATGGGGTGCCCCATCCTTTGCTCCATGGGATGTCCCATCCCTGGTTCCATGAGATTCCCCATCCTTTGCTCCATGGTGTTCCCCATCCTTTTCTCCATGGGGTGCCCCATCCCTTGGTCCATGAGGTGGCCCATCCTTTGCTCCATGAGATTCCCCATCCCTTGGTCCATAGGGTTCCTCATCCTTTGCTCCATGGGTTGTCCCATCCCTGGCTCCATGGGGTGCCCCATCATCTGGCCGTGGAGGGGAAGCGCATCGGGAAGGTGAGGGTTGGCCCACGCCCTGCAGCTCCGTGGGGTGACCCATCCCTTGGTCCATGGGGTGGCCCATCCCTTGGTCCATGGGGTTCCCCATCCTTTTCTCCATGGGGTTCCTCATCCTTTTCTCCGTGGGGTGGCCCATTCCTTGGTCCATAGGGTGGCCCATTCTTTGCTCCATGGGGTTCCTCATCATTTGCTCCATGGGTTGTCCCATCCCTGGCTCTGTGAGGTGCCCCATCCCTTGGTCCATGGGGTTCCTCATCCTTTGCTCCATGGGGTGCCCCATCTCTTGGTCCATGGGGTGCCCCATCTCTTGGTCCATGGGGTGCCCCATCCCTTGGTCCATAGGGTTCCCCATCCTTTGCTCCATGGGGTTCCTCATCCTTCTTTCCATGGGGTGCCCCATCCTTTGCTCCATGGGATGTCCCATCCCTGGTTCCATGAGATTCCCCATCCTTTGCTCCATGGTGTTCCCCATCCTTTTCTCCATGGGGTGCCCCATCCCTTGGTCCATGAGGTGGCCCATCCTTTGCTCCATGAGATTCCCCATCCCTTGGTCCATAGGGTTCCTCATCCTTTGCTCCATGGGTTGTCCCATCCCTGGCTCCATGGGGTGCCCCATCCCTTGGTCCATAGGGTTCCTCATCCTTTGCTCCATGGTGTTCCCCATCCTTTTCTCCATGGGGTGCCCCATCCCTTGGTCCATAGGGTTCCTCATCCTTTGCTCCATGGGGTTTCCCATCCCTGGCTCCATGGGGTGCCCCATCCCTTGGTCCATAGGGTTCCTCATCCTTTGCTCCATGGTGTTCCCCATCCTTTTCTCCATGGGGTGCCCCATCCCTTGGTCCATAGGGTTCCTCATCCTTTGCTCCATGGGGTGCCCCATCCCTTGGTCTGTGGGGTGGCCCATCCTTTGCTCCATGGTGTTCCCCATCCTTTTCTCCATGGGGTGCCCCATCCCTTGGTCCATAGGGTTCCTCATCCTTTGCTCCATGGTGTTCCCCATCCTTTTCTCCATGGGGTGCCCCATCCCTTGGTCCATAGGGTTCCTCATCCTTTGCTCCATGGTGTTCCCCATCCTTTTCTCCATGGGGTGCCCCATCCCTTGGTCCATGGGGTGCCCCATCCCTTGGTCCATGGTGTTCCCCATCCTTTTCTCCATGGGGTTCCCCATCCTTTGCTCCATGGGGTTCCCCATCCTTTTCTCCATAGGGTGGCCCATCCTTTGCTCCATGGGGTGCCCCATCCCCTGGTCCATAGGGTGGCCCATCCTTTGCTTCATGGTGTTCCCCATCCTTTCCTCCATGGGTTGTCCCATCCCTGGCTCCGTGAGGTGCCCCATCCCTTGGTCCATGGGGTGGCCCATTCTTTGCTCCATGGGGTTCCTCATCCTTTTCTCCATGGGGTGTCCCATCCTTTGCTCCATGGGGTTCCCCATCCTTTTCTCCATGGTGTGCCCCATCCCTTGGCCCATAGGGTTCTTCATCATCATACTTTGGTCCATGGTGTGCCCCATTCTTTGCTCCATAGGGGTCCATGGGATGTCCCATCCCTGGTTCCATGAGATTCCCCATCCTTTGCTCCATGGTGTTCCCCATCCTTTTCTCCATGGGGTGCCCCATCCCTTGGTCCATGAGGTGGCCCATCCTTTGCTCCATGAGATTCCCCATCCCTTGGTCCATAGGGTTCCTCATCCTTTGCTCCATGGGTTGTCCCATCCCTGGCTCCATGGGGTGCCCCATCCCTTGGTCCATAGGGTTCCTCATCCTTTGCTCCATGGTGTTCCCCATCCTTTTCTCCATGGGGTGCCCCATCCCTTGGTCCATAGGGTTCCTCATCCTTTGCTCCATGGGGTGCCCCATCCCTTGGTCTGTGGGGTGGCCCATCCTTTGCTCCATGGTGTTCCCCATCCTTTGCTCCATGGGGTGCCCCATCCCCTGGTCCATAGGGTGGCCCATCCTTTGCTTCATGGTGTTCCCCATCCTTTCCTCCATGGGTTGTCCCATCCCTGGCTCCGTGAGGTGCCCCATCCCTTGGTCCATGGGGTGGCCCATTCTTTGCTCCATGGGGTTCCTCATCCTTTTCTCCATGGGGTGTCCCATCCTTTGCTCCATGGGGTTCCCCATCCTTTTCTCCATGGTGTGCCCCATCCCTTGGCCCATAGGGTTCTTCATCATTTGCTCCATGGGTTGTCCCATCCCTGGCTCTATGAGGTTCCCCATCCTTTGCTCCATGGGGTGCCCCATCCCTTGGTCCATGGTGTGCCCCATTCTTTGCTCCATAGGGTTCCTCATCCTTTGCTCCATGGGTTGTCCCATCCCTTGGCCCATAGGGTTCTTCATCATTTGCTCCATGGGTTGTCCCATCCCTGGCTCTATGAGGTTCCCCATCCTTTGCTCCATGGGGTGCCCCATCCCTTGGTTCATGGGGTGGCCCATGCCTTGGTCCATGGGGTTCCTCATCCTTTGCTCCATGGGGTGCCTCATCCTTTTCTCCATGGGGTGCCCCATCCCTTGGTCCATAGGGTTCCTCATCCATTGCTCCATTGGGTTCCTCATCCTTTGCTCCATGGGGTGTCCCATCCCTGGCTCTGTGAGGTGCCCCATCCCTTGGTCCATGGTGTTCCCCATCCTTTTCTCCATGGGGTGCCCCATCCCTTGGTCCATAGGGTTCCTCATCCTTTGCTCCATGGGGTGCCCCATCCCTTGGTCTGTGGGGTGGCCCATCCTTTGCTCCATGGTGTTCCCCATCCTTTGCTCCATGGGGTGCCCCATCCCCTGGTCCATAGGGTGGCCCATCCTTTGCTTCATGGTGTTCCCCATCCTTTCCTCCATGGGTTGTCCCATCCCTGGCTCCGTGAGGTGCCCCATCCCTTGGTCCATGGGGTGGCCCATTCTTTGCTCCATGGGGTTCCTCATCCTTTTCTCCATGGGGTGTCCCATCCTTTGCTCCATGGGGTTCCCCATCCTTTTCTCCATGGTGTGCCCCATCCCTTGGCCCATAGGGTTCTTCATCATTTGCTCCATGGGTTGTCCCATCCCTGGCTCTATGAGGTTCCCCATCCTTTGCTCCATGGGGTGCCCCATCCCTTGGTCCATGGTGTGCCCCATTCTTTGCTCCATAGGGTTCCTCATCCTTTGCTCCATGGGTTGTCCCATCCCTTGGCCCATAGGGTTCTTCATCATTTGCTCCATGGGTTGTCCCATCCCTGGCTCTATGAGGTTCCCCATCCTTTGCTCCATGGGGTGCCCCATCCCTTGGTTCATGGGGTGGCCCATGCCTTGGTCCATGGGGTTCCTCATCCTTTGCTCCATGGGGTTCCTCATCCTTTTCTCCATGGGGTGCCCCATCCCTTGGTCCATAGGGTTCCTCATCCATTGCTCCATTGGGTTCCTCATCCTTTGCTCCATGGGGTGTCCCATCCCTGGCTCTGTGAGGTGCCCCATCCCTTGGTCCATGGTGTTCCCCATCCTTTTCTCCATGGTTTGTCCCATCCCTGGCTCCATGGTGTTCCCCATCCCTTGGCCCATGGGGTGCCCCATCCTTTCCTCCATGGGGTGCCCCATCCCTTGGTCCATGGTGTTCCCCATCCTTTGCTCCATGGGGTGGCCCATCCTTGTCTCCATGGGGTGCCCCATCCTTTGCTCCATGGGATGTCCCATCCCTCATGGTATTGTCCACCAGCAAGAACAGGACCATGCCGGTCCCTAGAGAAGCTGGTCCCTGGAGGTTGCACCTCCAACCACCCACGGTTGGTTGCTCAAGGAGCTTCTGTGGGACGTACCCCCGAGCCCCCACGCCGCTGACCCCCCGGGTTGTCCCACCAGGTTCTAGATCAAGCCATGGAGATCGAGGCCATCATCATGGTATTGTCCACCAGCAAGAACAGGACCATGCCGGTCCCTAGAGAAGCTGGTCCCTGGAGGTTGCACCTCCAACCACCCACGGTTGGTTGCTCAAGGAGCTTCTGTGGGACGTACCCCCGAGCCGGTGACCCACCAGGTTGTCCCACCAGGTTCTAGATCAAGCCATGGAGATCGAGGCCATCATCGAGCGGTACGAGGCGCTGGCGGCCGAGCTGCTGGCCTGGATCCACCACACCATCACCATCATCAGCAACCAGAAGTTCGCCAACTCCCTCACGGGGGTCCAGCAGCAGCTCCAGGCCTTCACCGCCTTCTGCACCTTGGAGAAACCCGTCAAGTGAGCACCTTCTGGGGTGGGGAGGACAACCCTGGGATGGTGTGGACACACACACCCCCATCCCGTGGTCGTATCTTGACCCGGTGGTGCCACCTTGTAGGTTCCAGGAGAAGGGGAACCTGGAGGTCCTGCTCTTCACCATCCAGAGCAAACTCCGGGCCAACAACCGCAAACTCTACGTCCCCAGCGAGGGCAAGAGCATCTCCGACATCAATAAGGTGCTGGTGGGACAAGGAGGTGACCTCTCCATCCCAGGGGGACCTCCCAGAAAGGTGGAGGACCTCCTCGGTGACCTCCCGTGTCCCACCCCTCAGGCTTGGACCTGCTTGGAGAAGGCAGAGCACGAGCGGGAGGTGTCGTTGCGCAACGAGTTGATCCGGCAGGAGAAGTTGGAGCTTCTGGCCCAACGTTTCGACCACAAGGCCGTCATGAGGGAGACGTGGTTGAACGAGAACCAACGGCTGGTCTCACAGGTGGGATGGGGTGGGTGGGGTGGACTCAGTGGGGCAGGACCCCTGGGGCCTCTCCCTGGCCCTGGTAGGGTGAGAAGAACCTGGTAGGGTGAGAAGAACCCAAGGCTTGGGTGGTGGGACCTCCTGGTGGGCCTCGTTGGGCTCCTTGGTTGATCAGAAAGGGGTCCAACCCTACTTGATGGCATCTCCCAACCTCCAGGACAACTTCGGCTACGACCTCCCGGCGGTGGAGGCCGCCATGAAGAAGCACGAGGCCATCGAGGCCGACATCTCCTCCTACCAAGAGCGCATCCAGGTGGTGGTGGAGCTGGCCCTGGAGATGGAGTCCGAGGGCTACTATGACACCAAACGCATCAGCGCCCAGAAGGACAACATCTTGAGACAGTGGGGACTCTTGACCGAGCTGGTCTGCGCCCGCCGGGCCCGTCTGGAGCAGAACCTGGCCCTGCAGAAGATCTTCCAGGAGATGGTCTACATGATTGACTGGATGGAGGAGATGCAGGTAGAGCTGGGGGCGTGGTGGGCACCAGGTATCTCCATGGAGGACCCATCCCTTCGTCCATGGGATGTCCCATCCTTTGCTCCATGGGTTGTCCCATCCCTTGGTCCACGGGGTGTCCCATCCATGGGGTGGGAAGCTCCAGTCCCCGTGGCCTCCTGTCCCCTTCCCCAGGTGCTCGGGGTGGCCCATCCCTTGCTCCACGGGGTTTCTCATCCATGGGGTGGGAAGCTCCAGTCGCCGTGGCCTCCTGTCCCCTTCCCCAGGTGCTGCTGGTCTCCAAGGACTTGGGGAAGCATCTTCTGGAGGTGGAGGACCTTCTGCAGAAACATGGGCTGCTGGAGGCCGACATCTCGGCCCAGACCGAGCGGGTGCAGGCCCTCAACGCCGCCGCCCTCAAGTTCTCCGAGCTGGAAGGTACCGTGGGGACACCACCAGGACCAGGAGATGGGAGGACCCCCTTGGGAAGGGTCAACCAAGGTCTTCAGGGTTCTTCTGTAGACCATCTCTGCTAAGATCTCCATCTCTCCTTCCAGGCTACCAACCCTGTGACCCCCAGATCATCTGCAACCGGGTCAACCACGTCCAAACCTGCCTGGAGGAACTGGGAGAACTGGCGGGCAAGAGACGCAAGGAACTGGAGGACTCTCGCCAACTCTGGGCCTTCTTCCAGGAGATGGAGGAGGCCGAGGCGTGGATCCGTGAGAAGGAGCAGATCTTGGCCTCCAAAACCTGCGGCCGGGACCTGAGCAGCGTCTTGACCTTGACCAACAAGCACAAGAGCATGTTGGGTGAACTGGGGAGCCGTCGGGCCCTCTTGCACCAGAGCATGAAGAAAGGCGAGCAGATCTTGGCCAAGAAACGTTTCAGCCCCGGTGGGATCCAGGAGAAGATGCGGGAGGTCCGCCTCCGTTGGAAGAAGCTGGAGGAGGTGACGGGGTTACACCAACAACGTCTGCAGGAGGCCCTCAACTTCTTCCAGTTCAGCGCCGAGACGGACGATTTGGTGGCCTGGTTGCAGGACACCTACCGCATCGTCTCCAGCGATGACTTTGGCCACGATGACTATTCCACCCAAGCTCTTCTGAGGAAGCACCGGGCGGTGGTGGAAGAGGTGGAGAAGCACCGGGCGGCCGTCTTGGCTCTTCGCAAACAGTTGGCTCTTCTCGCCCCCGAACACCGACAAGGGGTGGACGTTCAGATCCGGGTGGTGGAGGTGGAGCAGCTCTACGGGGAGGTGGCCGAGGTGGCTGTCCTGAGACAACAGTGGCTTCAGGACGCCTTGGCCGTCTACAGGATGTTCAGCGAGGTCCACGCCTGCGAGGTGTGGGTGGACGAGAAGGAGCAGTGGTTGGAGAGGATGGAGGTGCCGGAGGAGCTGGATGAGGTTGAGGTGGTCCAACACAGGTGGGTGGGTGGGTGCGTGTGTGTGGACCTTTGGGGAGGACACACGGGTTCCTCGCCCCATGGTGGACCTCCATCGATCTTCTCCCCAGGTTTGAGAGCCTGGACCAGGAGATGAACAGCGTCATGGGACGCATCTTGGATGTCAACCAGGTGGTGCAGCAGTTGGTGGACGGGGGGCACCCCAGCTCGGAGGAGGTCCGCTCCTGCCAGGACCACCTCAACAGCAGGTATGGGGGTGGGGAGGGGGGGGCCGAGATGTGGGGCCAAGTCCACCCCAGGGGTCTGTGATCCTCAAGGTGGACCTCATCCTGCTCGGGGAGCTTCTTGGTTGGAGGAACCAGCTGTGGGGCTGCTGGTAGGCCCCAACCCTGTGGTTGTCCCAGCCTGGTGGGACATCTCCATGGGTTCCAGCTCTCCAGAGCCATGGGCCAAGCCCATCCTGGGGGTCCACAATGCCCAAGGTGGACCTCATCCTGCTTGGGGAGCTTCTTGGTTGGAGGAACCAGCTGTGGGGCTGCTGGTGGTCCCCAACCCTGTGGTTCTTCCAGCCTGGTAGGACATCTCCATGGGTTCCAGCTCTTTGGTGCAATAGCCCAAGCACTGGTGATGCCCAAGGTGGACCTCACCCTGCTTGGGGGCTCCTCGGGGATGGGGTCAAGCTGTGGGGCTGCTGGTAGTCCCCAACCCTGTGGTCCTCCCAGCCTGGTGGGACATCTCCATGGGTTCCAGCTCTCCAGAGCCATGGGCCAAGCCCATCTTGGGGGTCCACAATGCCCAAGGTGGACCTTACCCTGCTTGGGGAGCTTCTTGGTTGGAGGAACAAGCTGTGGGGCTGCTTGTAGACCCCAACCCTGTGGTTCTTCCAGCCTGGTGGGACATCTCCATGGGTTCCAGCTCTCCAGAGCCATGGGCCAAGCTCGTCTTGGGGGTCCACAATGCCCAAGGTGGACCTCATCCTGCTTGGGGAGCTTCTTGGTTGGGGGGTAACCAGCTGTGGGGCTGCTGGAAGGTTCCAGCCTGTGGTTCTCCCAGCCTGGTGGGACATCTCCATGGGTTCCAGCTCTCCAGAGCCATGGGCCAAGCCCATCCTGGGGGTCCACAATGCCCAAGGTGGACCTCACCCTGCTTGGGGGCTCCTTGGGGATGGGGCCAAGCTGTGGGGCTGCTTGTAGACCCCAACCTTGTGGTTCTTCCAGCCTGGTGGGACATCTCCATGGGTTCCAGCTCTCCAGAGCCATGGTCCAAGACCATCTTGGGGGTCTACAATGCCCAAGGTGGACCTCATCCTTGCCTGGGGGCTTCTTAGGGATGGGGCCAAGCTGTGGGGCTGCTTGTGGAGATGAACAGCGTCATGGGACGCATCTTGGATGTCAACCAGGTGGTGCAGCAGTTGGTGGACGGGGGGCACCCCAGCTCGGAGGAGGTCCGCTCCTGCCAGGACCACCTCAACAGCAGGTATGGGGGTGGGGAGGGGGGGGCGGACCCAAACCCTGTGGTTGTCCCACCAGGGTGGGACATCTCCATGGGTTCCAGCTCTCCAGAGCCATGGGTCAAGCCCATCTTGGGGGTCTACAATGCCCAAGGTGGACCTCATCCTGCCTGGGGCCTCCTTGGGGATGGGGGCCAAGCTGTGGGGCTGCTTGTAGACCCCAACCCTGTGGTTCTCCCAGCCTGGTGGGACATCCCTATGGAGTCCAGGTCTCCAGAGCCATGGGCCAAGACCATCTTGGGGGTCCACAATGCCCAAGGTGGCCGAGCTGTGGGGCCAAGTCCACCCCAGGGGTCCGTGATCCTCAAGGTGGACCTCATCCTGCTTGGGGAGCTTCTTGGTTGGAGGAACCAGCTGTGGGGCTGCTTGTAGACCCCAGCCCTGTGGTTCTTCCAGCCTGATGGGACATCTCCATGGGTTCCAGCTCTCCAGAGCCATAGGCCAATCCAAGGGTCCACAATGCCCAAGGTGGCCCTCATCCTGCTCAGGGAGCTTCTTGGTTGGAGGAACCAGCTGGGGGGCTGCTTGTAGACCCCAGCCCTGTGGTTCTTCCAGCCTGATGGGACATCTCCATGGGTTCCAGCTCTCCAGAGCCATAGGCCAATCCAAGGGTCCACAATGCCCAAGGTGGACCTCACCCTGCTTGGGGGCTCCTCGGGGATGGGGTCAAGCTGTGGGGCTGCTGGTAGTCCCCAACCCTGTGGTCCTCCCAGCCTGGTGGGACATCTCCATGGGTTCCAGCTCTCCAGAGCCATGGGCCAAGCCCATCTTGGGGGTCCACAATGCCCAAGGTGGACCTTACCCTGCTTGGGGAGCTTCTTGGTTGGAGGAACAAGCTGTGGGGCTGCTTGTAGACCCCAACCCTGTGGTTCTTCCAGCCTGGTGGGACATCTCCATGGGTTCCAGCTCTCCAGAGCCATGGGCCAAGCTCGTCTTGGGGGTCCACAATGCCCAAGGTGGACCTTACCCTGCTTGGGGAGCTTCTTGGTTGGAGGAACAAGCTGTGGGGCTGCTTGTAGACCCCAACCCTGTGGTTCTTCCAGCCTGGTGGGACATCTCCATGGGTTCCAGCTCTCCAGAGCCATGGGCCAAGCTCGTCTTGGGGGTCCACAATGCCCAAGGTGGACCTCATCCTGCTTGGGGAGCTTCTTGGTTGGGGGGTAACCAGCTGTGGGGCTGCTGGAAGGTTCCAGCCTGTGGTTGTCCCAGCCTGGTGGGACATCTCCATGGGTTCCAGCTCTCCAGAGCCATGGGCCAAGCCCATCTTGGGGGTCCACAATGCCCAAGGTGGACCTCATCCTGCTCGGGGAGCTTCTTGGTTGGAGGAACCAGCTGTGGGGCTGCTGGTGGTCCCCAACCCTGTGGTTCTTCCAGCCTGGTAGGACATCTCCATGGGTTCCAGCTCTCCAGAGCCATGGGCCAAGCCCGTCTTGGGGGTCTACAATGCCCAAGGTGGACCTCATCCTGCCTGGGGCCTCCTTGGGGATGGGGGCCAAGCTGTGGGGCTGCTTGTAGACCCCAACCCTGTGGTTCTCCCAGCCTGGTGGGACATCCCTATGGAGTCCAGGTCTCCAGAGCCATGGGCCAAGACCATCTTGGGGGTCCACAATGCCCAAGGTGGACCTCATCCTGCTCAGGGAGCTTCTTGGTTGGAGGAACCAGCTGTAGGGCTGCTGGTGGTCCCCAACCCTGTGGTTCTCCCACCAGGGTGGGACATCTCCATGGGTTCCAGCTCTCCAGAGCCATAGGCCAATCCAAGGGTCCACAATGCCCAAGGTGGACCTCATGCTGCTTGGGGGTTCCTGGGTGGGGTGAACCAGCTGTGGGGCTGCTGGTAGTCCCCAACCCTGTGGTCCTCCCAGCCTGGTGGGACATCTCCATGGGTTCCAGCTCTCCAGAGCCATGGGCCAAGCCCATCTTGGGGGTCCACAATGCCCAAGGTGGACCTCATCCTGCTTGGGGAGCTTCTTGGTTGGAGGAACCAGCTGTGGGGCTGCTGGTGGTCCCCAATCCTGTGGTTCTCCCAACCTGGTGGGACATCTCCATGGGTTCCAGCTCTCCAGAGCCATGGGCCAAGCCCATCTTGGGGGTCCACAATGCCCAAGGTGGACCTCATCCTGCTTAGGGAGCTTCTTGGTTGGAGGAACCAGCTGTGGGGCTGCTGGTAGTCCCCAACCCTGTGGTTCTTCCAGCCTGGTAGGACATCTCCATGGGTTCCAGCTCTCCAGAGCCATGGGTCAAGCCCATCTTGGGGGTCTACAATGCCCAAGGTGGACCTTAACCCTGGTGGCACGGCTCCATCCTGGTCTTGTCTCACCTCCGTCCCCATCCCCAGGTGGAACCGGGTGGTGGAACTGGTGGAGAGCAAGAAGAGCCAACTCAGCTCCGTCCTGAAGATCCAAAACTACCTGCTGGAGTGCAGCGAGATGAAGGCCCAGGTGAGGGAGAAGAGAAAAGCCATCGAAGCCACCCAATCGGGCGGCGGGGACTTGGGCGGCGTCTTGGCCTTGCAACGGCGTCTCTCCACCATGGAGGCGGCTTTGGTGGTCTTGGAACCTCGGTTGATGGAACTTCAACAAGAAGGAGAAGCTTTGGCCACCGCCCACCCCGGGAGGGCCTTGGAGATCTTGTTGCCCTTCGAGCAGATCAGCGAAGAGTGGGAGGCCCTCAAACGGGCCCTCCAAGGTTGCGAGGACTCCTTGACCATCGCTGGTCGCTTGCAACAGTTCATCCAAGACTTGGACAACTTCCTCGGTTGGTTGGTGAAGACCCAAGCGGCCGTGGCTTCCGAGGAGGTCCCCGACAGCTTGAGCCAAGCCGAGAAGTTGCTCAACCACCACGCGGCCCTCAAGGAGGAGATCAACGGCTACGAGGAGGACTACGCCAAGATCCAAGCGGCCAGCGACCTCCTGGCTTTGGAGGAGATGGAGGTCCCCTCCCTGTCCTTGCAGCAGTGGCTCCAGAAGTTGGACGCGGGTTGGGGCAAGTTGTTGCAGAGTTGGGAGAGGAGACGGGAGGTCCTGGTGCAGTCCCACGTCTTCCACCTCTTCCTCCGCGACGTCCAACAATGCGAGAGCAGCCTCTACAACCAGGTAGAACCTTCGGGTTGGGTGAAGGTCTTTGGGTTGGTTGGTTGGACCTTCTACTTGATCTTCTCCCCCTTCCCATCCCCCGGGGGAGGATGGAGTTGGGAGAAGAAAGGAGAACCTTCCTTCCCTTCTCCAGGAGTCCACCCTGGTCCACGCCGAGCTCCCCGACACGGTGGAAGGGGTCACCAACGCCATCAAGAAGCACAAGGACTTCACCACCACCTTGGAGCTCAACCTCCAGAAGATCCAGTTGGCCCTTCAAGCCGGAGAGAGCCTCCAACGACAAGGCAACCTCTACAGCGACCGGGTGGCCGAGGCCATGGAGGGTCTTCGCACCAAGTAGGTGGCCGGGGTGACAATGTCTTGACCAACGTGTCCCCCCCCCAACCCCCCAGGTCCCACCTGGGGACCACCTTGAGAAGACAATGATCAATGATGGAGGTGGATCTACTGGTGCATCCTCACCACGGCTGGTGGGGCAGGAGGAACACGGTGCCTCAGTTTCCCCGTTGGGTTAATTATCTTGATTGAGGTGGGGGTGGGGAGTTAATTAGGTGGTTAATTGGGGTGTTGAGGTTGGGGGGGGCGGGGTCAAGACTGAGGGACAACCCCCAACGCCTGCAGGAGCCACCGCAACTACCAGTTGGCCCAAGAGTGGATGCAACGTCTCCAGGACCACCTCGAGCTCCAGAAGTTCCTCCAGAATTGCCGAGAGGTAGGAGATGGAGACCCCCCCACCCCCCACCTTGACGTGGCCAAACTGGGAGTTGCTGGTGTCACCCCACGCTGCTGTCCTCAACTTTGGGGGGGGTCTGGATGGTTTTGGGGGGGCTCCCCTCAAGGGGACCCCTCTGGAGCTGGACCAGGGGGTCCTGACCCCCATAGATGTTCCTCAGCATCTCAGGAGGCTTCCCCAGTAACCATACTGGGAGCTGCTGGTGTCACCTCACACTGGTGTCACCATCTTTGGGGGGGTCTGGATGACTTTGGGGGGGCTCCCCACAAGGACACCCCCCCGGACCTGGACCAGGGGGTCTTCTCCTCCCCCAACCCCCCCATAGATGCTCCTCAGCATCTCAGGAGGCTTCCCCAGTAACCATACTGGGAGCTGCTGGTGTCACCTCACACTGGTGTCACCATCTTTGGGGGGGTCTGGATGACTTTGGGGGGGCTCCCCACAAGGACACCCCCCCGGACCTGGACCAGGGGGTCTTCTCCTCCCCCAACCCCCCCATAGATGCTCCTCAGCATCTCAGGAGGCTTCCCCAGTAACCATACTGGGAGCTGCTGGTGTCACCTCACACTGGTGTCACCATCTTTGGGGGGGTCTGGATGACTTTGGGGGGGCTCCCCACAAGGACACCCCCCCGGACCTGGACCAGGGGGTCTTCTCCTCCCCCAACCCCCCCATAGATGCTCCTCAGCATCTCAGGAGGCTTCCCCAGTAACCATACTGGGAGCTGCTGGTGTCACCTCACACTGGTGTCACCATCTTTGGGGGGGTCTGGATGACTTTGGGGGGGTCTGGATGACTTTGGGGGGGTCTGGATGACTTTGGGGGGGTCTGGATGACTTTGGGGGGGTCTGGATGACTTTGGGGGTGGGGAGGGGCAATTCCCCCCCCCTGGACCTGGACCAGGGGGTCCTTCCCCCCCCATAGATGCTCCTCAACATCTCAGGAGGCTTCCCCAGTGGCCAAACTGGGAGCTGCTGGTGTCACCCAACGCTGGTGTCACCATCTTTGGGGGGGTCTGGATGACTTTGGGGGTGGGGAGGGGCAATTCCCCCCCCCTGGACCTGGACCAGGGGGTCCTTCCCCCCCCATAGATGCTCCTCAACATCTCAGGAGGCTTCCCCAGTGGCCAAACTGGGAGCTGCTGGTGTCACCCAACGCTGGTGTCACCATCTTTGGGGGGGTCTGGATGACTTTGGGGGTGGGGAGGGGCAATTCCCCCCCCCTGGACCTGGACCAGGGGGTCCTTCCCCCCCCATAGATGCTCCTCAACATCTCAGGAGGCTTCCCCAGTGGCCAAACTGGGAGCTGCTGGTGTCACCCAACGCTGGTGTCACCATCTTTGGGGGGGTCTGGATGACTTTGGGGGTGGGGAGGGGCAATTCCCCCCCCCTGGACCTGGACCAGGGGGTCCTTCCCCCCCCATAGATGCTCCTCAACATCTCAGGAGGCTTCCCCAGTGGCCAAACTGGGAGCTGCTGGTGTCACCCAACGCTGGTGTCACCATCTTTGGGGGGGTCTGGATGACTTTGGGGGGGTGTGGATGACTTTGGGGGGTCTCCCCTCAAGGACACCCCCCCAGACATGGACCAGGGGGTCCTGCCCCCCCAAAATGCTCCTCAGCATCTCAGGAGGCTTCCCCAGCGGCCATACTGGGAGCTGCTGGTGTCACCTCACGTCGGTGTCACCATCTTTGGGGGGGTCGGGACGACTTTGGAGGTGGGGGGGGGCAATTTCCCCCACCCAAGATGGACCAGGGGGTCTTCTCCTCCCCCCACCCCCCATAGATGCTCCTCAGCATCTCAGGAGGCTTCCCCAGCGGCCATACTGGGAGCTGCTGGTGTCACCTCACGTCGGTGTCACCATCTTTGGGGGGGTCGGGACGACTTTGGAGGTGGGGGGGGGCAATTTCCCCCACCCAAGATGGACCAGGGGGTCTTCTCCTCCCCCCAGTCCCCTCATAGATGCTCCTCAGCATCTCAGGAGGCTTCCCCAGTGGCCAAACTGGGAGCTGCTGGTGTCACCTCACGTCGGTGTCACCATCTTTGGGGGGGTCGGGACGACTTTGGAGGTGGGGGGGGGCAATTTCCCCCCCAGAGATGGACCAGGGGGTCCCACTCCCCCCCATAGATGCTCCTCAGCATCTCAGGAGGCTTCCCCAGTGGCCATACTGGGAGCTGCTGGTGTCACCCCACATTGATGTCCCCACCTTTGGGGGGGTCTGGATGACTTTGGGGGTGGGGAGGGGCAATTCCCCCCCCCTGGACCTGGACCAGGGGGTCCTTCCCCCCCCATAGATGCTCCCCAGCATCTCAGGAGGCTTCCCCAGTGGGCATACTGGGAGCTGCTGGTGTCACCCCACACCGGTGTCACCACCTTTGGGGGGGTCTGGGTGACTTTGGGGGGGGGGGGGGCAATTTCCCCCGACAGG